TGGGGTAGACCATGGGGCGGACCATGGGGTAGACCATGGTGGTAAAGCCGTCTCATACCAAAATACTGTTCTTTTATGAAACAGCTTTCAATAACATCAGCGTGATTTCCTCTGCTATGTGATGAAATAAATGGCGAAAAATTTTACTGTAGAGAATTCACTTTCGACATGGCCAGGATGAGTAACAGCTATGTAGTGGTGACAGAGAATTATAAATTAAATTTCTTCTGAATAGAAAGAGAAAATGATAAAAATGTGCGTCTTGACTAGTACAATGTAGAGTCAGATAAGTACCGTACAAGAAATAGCGAACCGTCTGTGTATCAAGTAAAGGAAAGGTTGAATCTGGGTTCCAAGTTCTTTCCTATCAACAGCGTAATATAAGGTGAAATCTTGTAAAGGACTAGTGATGGTTCAATGGCTCTAGAGCCAAGACCAGATCATATTGTGCTGATCCTCGCTTTCACAACTGTTCCGGAACCCAGCGGGAATTCTTTCTGAGCTTCCAGTGCTCCAAGAGATAGGAAAGTCTTTTATGGTAAAGTACTACCTACAGTCTCTATCAATAAGGCAGTGATTCCGTTGCAACTATCGCTTACTAAAATAATTGAATTTTACCAGAAACCTAAGGATTAGATCACCGGTATCATTAGGCGGTACCTACAGTATCCTGAATCAGGGACCAACGAGAAATAAAATTCCCTTGGCAAGGGAAGGTACAAGTCTAAAGTCGTCCTATCAAGAGCTTCGAGGAAGTGATAGTGGCTCAGATACTCGATGAAGTGTTGTGTCTCCGCTTCCTTACTGACAATATAGAATACGGCCAGAATGAATTGAAGACAATGACTGTTTCGGAATCCGAGTAGACTTAGTATAGAAAAGTGCAGTTACTGTTTGTCTCAATTATTTGAACAGTCTTTCCGTTTATACTCCCGTAAGACTGAAATATTTGCACATCACAAAATCGTTGGTTGGCATCTACTGTCTGGACCTTAGAGAGTTCCAACTCCTTCAGAATCAAAGGAAGAATAGTCAGGAAAGAAGAGCCTGAGTTGTTTTGTTGCTTATCGAAGCCAAAACGAGCTATTATCCTTGAAGTTTAGTAATTCGTTTTGGTCGAGTGAAGTGAGTTTGTCGTGTACTATGAGTTCTTTCTGCATAAATCATGATGATGTGACCATAAGAGTTAGCAGGCGAAAGAAAAGCACCAATTGCTCTTTCCATCGAGAGCATTTTAACAAGCACACTTCATTCCGGCTTACTACAAGCTATACTTTTATGAATTTTCATGAATTTTCCGATAGGGGCATGGTAGAATATGTACTGGCCGTGAGTATGGTGATAAATTTACCGATAAGTAACCAATCTAAAAAGGTTTTCAGGTCCAGTATTAGTTTGCTATTGTTCAAATTGTAATGTATATATTATCTATACTCTGATGATACATCTCACCATATCATAGAACACTTCACTTTGGTTCCCAAGTTCGTGGAAGAGCTTCTAGTCCATTCATCTCACTGTTCTCGAAGAATTTGCATTCTGTACGACCTCAATTCATTGTCAAAAAAATTCAAACACCCGCCGTTCCCTGAGACAGTAGTTCCCACTGGGAAATGGTTCTCCAAGAAAGTATGGACCGGGCATGCAAGGCCATGGTCCGAAACAAATATGGAGCCAGTTGGGTTCAGTGGTTGGTGTAGGTCCTTGTGTTGAAGCTATTGCAGCAGCCGAAGTGGCGATTGCTTAATCGATTGACAAACTTACATCGCTATGAACATCTTCACGTTTCTGAAATACGCAAGAAATTCTTGCAGAGGTTGTCAGATTTATGCTGTGCGGAAATCAACTGAAATAAAAGTTCCTATCGTCAACTCAACTATTTTTGATTCAAAACTCGACAACTTCCATAATTCCACTGCAGATGCCTTTCATATCTTTCAGTGGAGTGGATATTTTTGTGATGATGATAGTCTTGCTTTGATCGAGCTGGAGCAGACGTTCTCAAAACGTGCCACTTGGGGAGATGCAGCTACCGATGCAGCTACCGATGTAGTGGACAAGAGAATAAGGAGCTTCATTTGAAAAACTAGAACGACTGGCAGCATCAGTTGGGGAGGTGATTGTTATATGAGCTCCTGAAGAAAGAAATTTTCACTGCATTTACTATTCTAAGATCTTGTTGAAAATAGTTGATCCGCCGAAAATGGGTGAAATTCTCAACGTGATCAATTCCGTTGCTAAATTCACCCATTCCATTTTGAACTGTAATCGTCTTGAGGCAATGTGACAGCGAAACGGGAGAAAAACTAGGTGCCCGACGATAGGTTTCCTCCTAAAAGGGCCATGCAGCAGTTATTATAATCCAGATAAGACACTCTTGGCGAAACTTCTGAAATTTGTTCTACTTGATGCAAGGGTTCAAAGGCTTTGAGCAGTTTTCACTGGATGTGACCTTTTTATACGATTTTCTCTAAGCGTTTTGCGCCATTCCGGCTAATTAAATACAGTTGGCATTGAGGTGAGAGATGGTTTCTTTGTACTGTTGGCAAACACTAGTAAAAAAGCACAGCCCATTCGGTATAAAAGCATAGGCCGGGTTACAGGCTGTGTTTCCTTCCTTCCTTTTTCCCAATTAGGGATTGTTTGGATACCTCCCACTTGTGAAGTTTTTCATAAGTTTATCAGCTGAATTTAGTAAGGAACTCTTCTAAAATCACTGCTTTTCTAGATCTGAGGTCTAAAAAATTCAACAATTAATTTGAATAATACTCAAATGAGCAACTATAAAAATTCCTTTCTCCAGGAGCTGATAGATCAATTCTCAAACTATTATTGCCAAATTATGCTGGATTTTCAGATGAAGCTCCTTTTCCTCTTACTAACTACAGCATCGGTAGCTGCATTTCCCAATGTGGTACGTTTTAAGACCATCTGCTCCTAGCCCAATTAAAGTTCACCAAAGGATTCACTAAAATATAAAGACATCTTAAATAGAAATATGGAAGCTGTCGAGTTTTCAATTATAAAACTTTAGATGATTCAAAGACAGCAACAGGACAAATTTGAGAATTCTTGTAAGACTTCTTGCACATTTCAGAAACGCGAGGCGGCTACTACAACAGCTTCAACAGAAGGACCTACATCAACCGCGGCTCTCAACGGGCCTCATCCTTGTTTCGGACCATGGCCTTGTATGCCTGGGCCACACTTTCCTGGAGGACCATTTTCGCCCTATGGACCAGAACGACCTNCTCGACAACTGATAAGGCAACGACCTCTTCAGCTTCTCCAACAGCTTCAACTCAAGGGCCTACATCTACCGCGGCACCCAACGGGCCCCATCCTTGTTTCGGACCATGGCCTTGCATGCCCGGACCACACTCTCCCGGAGAACCATTCCCGCCAAATGGACCAGAAGGACCTCATCCAGGACCATGGGCTCCTTCACACAGACCAGCAGGACCCTTCGGACCTGAAAGCGGACCAATGAGACCATGGGCTAGACCAGGTGGATTTGGAGGACCGTGGGGTGGACCATGGTGATAGCGTTGGCTATACCGAGATATTCTTCTCTTGATAAACACATTACAATATCATCGGTGTTAGTTTCTCTGCTACGTGCTGGGATAAATGATAAAACTTAGACTATAGAAATTCCACCTTCGACAAAGCCAGTATGAGCACTATCTAGTGAAATCTACTAGTATTGCATTACATTTGTGTGCAGATGGATTTGAAGGTTGACATTTTCCTACTGAACCAGTTCCAATAAGATTCGATATCACGAAAAATAACCAGCCCTTGGTGCAATAGGTGGCAAAAATCGATTCTGGAGAGCAAATCAACTCTCAATTGCATTCTAAGCCTAATTATTGTAGTTTTAGAAGTTCAGCCAGCGAATCGCCACTTGAGGGTTAGAGGGAACTAAGGTTTGACTTCATCAAAAAATTACTCAAATTACCAGAGCAGTCTAAATTCCGATGGAAATTGAATTTCACTCATTCTGCGCTACAGTAGGTGCCACACAACGATCGTGGGGGGTCAAAACCACTCACAGCCGCATTTCATGTGAAAGGGAATTATTTTAGTGTTACGAGAGCAACACTTGAAGATTCACGAAGACGATTCTGTCATGCAGTGGTAATACCTTGCTACAGAAAAGCTACTAGGCTTCCGCAGCTATTCCAACTCCAGAATGACCCTGACGGTGTTTTTGTCGCCTCGCAGCGAAGTGATTTCTTCATCAACACAGTTTCTACCGGGGTTATACGTACATCACGATCTGAACGAAAATCAACCTAAGACTGGGCCAGGAGACCTTTCTAGCTTAAAACTATTTACTATTAAGTTCGTTACCATATTCAGTACATACTAGACCATACCACTGACGAGGAAATAAAATATCTTCAAAACTTGCTTTGAGGAAGAAAAAACCTCGTACTCGAGTTTTTCTACTCTTAGTTCGAGGCTGGGAAACTTAAAAGAGTTGATAGCTTCTCGTTCATTAGGGATTTTTCGAAAATTCTGCTCTGAAAGTGAGCTGATATGGCAGAAACGACGCAAGAATTAATTCACAGAGTAAATGCTTAGAACAAGATTTAACTTTGCGTAGCTCAACTGCTGCTATCTTTCAATATTTAGAAAAAGGTTCCTTGAGGCTTTTCTAATATTGAAACGAATATAGTGTAGCTTTGAATGAAGGGAGTTCAAACCCGCTGGAGTTGAGAGAAGGAAAATAAGGAAAAGAAAGTTCGAGTATCAAGTCCCTTCTGCAGGCCAAAGTGGTACGGGCGACTCCAAACACTGCTCCAATTGTTTGGTGTTTGGTAATTGTTCTCGATGATGTATAGCCTCTACTGCTTCTAGAGATTTCTATAGTATTCCCATTGTTGATCTTCAAACAATGCATGAAATAGCTGTCTTCCATACGACTCAAAGCTGATCCATCTTGGAAGATCCATTACTAGGAGATTCAAAATGTCATTATAAAGAGCTGCTATTATGTAGCTCATCGCTGGAGGGAGGGATTGCGCCCCCGGATACCAGCTTAGTAGGTCCGCCAACCTCTTGGGGACCCGAAAATACAGGTAGTTATGGGGTAGGGGAACTATTAAGGAAAAAAAGGATATGCAATGGCAATAGTAAAAAAAGAAAAACAAATGTGAGCAAAACAATGAGTACATTGGATCACCAAATATAATTGTACAGTTAATAGGGGAGACAAAGTATAAGAGGAAAAATGTGCGAAAAGGGGGAGAAAAAAAAGGGAAAAAAATAGGAAAAAATAACGTGAAGGTGGGGGAAGAGTTTAAGAGTTAATCTCGAGCAATGGAAGGAATTCGGTAGAATAAAATATCTTCATTCTTTCTACCACTTATACCCTCTATGTATAGTAGGTAAGCCAAAGTCTATGTGCTTCGTAGAATCCCTTTGATAGAAAGCACGATGAATGCTCCCTCCTGCTTCCTAGCCCTATGGTCAACTTAATGTCTTAAGAAGGAAGCCTACTCAGTATTCTACTCAATTGTCCAATGTCCTTTCTTTGGCGAGTGCTCTGTTATGTCCACAGAAAAAGCTTATTAGAGCAGATTGCTCTCGTGGTGCTACATTATTTCACATGTGTCATGCTTATCTGCTGTCAATATATTTCTCAGCAGGTGTGTCGGAAAAAGGTGGTGGGATTATATACGATTTTATGCAAACAGCAGTGGATTGTGATTTTGAGCGATGACGCTCCATTGTTATTGAGATCAATGGAATTTGAATAAATCTGCAAAACAATAAATGGAACAGAAATAATCGGAAAGAATCGGGTTGTCCTCGATGGTTAAGCTAGGGTAAAGCCGGTCAAGGCAAGGTGTGGTTGAACTCTGCCCCATTATTCACCCTTACCTCCTGAATTTTCTCGAAGGGGAATGTCTGATTATGTCAGACGGATGACGAACCGAACTTCAAAGAAATCTTTCTATAGTGAATTCGATTCGGACCAATGGTCCATTAATTGCTAATTTGTATGATCCAAGTGATCCTACCAGGCCTCGAAGCAAATGCCAAATCAACAGACCAATCTAACAATGACTTTCCTCGAGTAGTGCCTTTGTTAACTTCTTTCGCATGGGATGCACTAGAGTTTCAATTGCATTTTTCCATTTATGGAACGGATTGAAGGCTAAATGCTATTTTTACTGGCTGTACATTTTTCATATGATTCTTTCGAAGCTTTATAAGCCATATGGGCTGATTAAATACAGTTGGCAATCATGTGAGAGACGATCCCGTTGTACAGTACGTAGACCTTAGAAAAAAAGCATAATCGTGTGGTATAAAAGTCCTACCCAGATCAAGGTCATATCTCATTCAGTTCGTTTCCCCAAGTGGGAACGTTTGAAGAGCCTTATCAAGTCTTTTAAATAGCTGCAGTAATAATTTTTCATTGCTCGACCCTCAATCGATAACTCCTGACGTTAACTAATACTTCCCTCTCTGAAAGGTTCATTGTTAAGGAAGAACAGCATTTTTGAAAGGATACAGACTCTCAAACGTATCAGACCCTCTGATATTTGTTGACCCCAAGATGCTGATACGTTCCAGATGTATTGGGAGGACTTGAAGAACTCTCTCCTTCTTCCGATGGGACGGAAAATAATCTCTGTATCATGGGTAGTGCTCATGAGGCAAAAACAGTTCCGTCTACCATCTTAGCGACTCTTGGCGACCACAAAGAAAATCACTGCTTGAAATTTATCATCCACTCTGATCTCTCTGAACCCATTTAGCAATAGCTTCTCGGATTGTTGTGACATAATGCTGGATATTACAGATGAACCTCCTTATCGTCTTGCTCACGACAGCATCGGTTGTTGCACTTCCCAGAGTGGTAAGTTCTAAGAGCATTTGATTCTATTCAGTAGAGTGACACTAAGTTTACCTAATCCCATAATAGAAAGTTTTCTATGAATCTGAATTACTGAACATTTAGTCAAGTCTGTTATGGACTGTTTCTTTGGTTGATTTTTGAGAATTCCTATAAAAACTTCGTGGCATATTTCAGAAACGTGATAGCAATGTGAGTTCGACAACCGATAAGGCAACAACCACTCCGGCTACAACAACAGCTTCAACAACCGACGCTACCACAACGTCAACACAGGGATCTAGAACAACCACAGCACCTCACTGGCCACAACCTTGTTTCGGGCCATGGCCTTGTATGCGCGGTCCACACTTTCCTGGAGGACCATTTCCGCCATATGGACCAGCAGGACCT